CATACAGAACTAAGTTTCGAGGTGAAAATGTCAAATCTGTATGTGATATACATCTTCCCCAAGTATAGCAGCCTATTTGGACCAGGGGAATAAAAAAGGCAAGTCCTTGGCTAGAGAAAGATTTGAGAATGTATATATATTTTGATCAAAATGAATTAGCATATATAGCTAACCTGTCGTCCCTCCCCCCCGGTTGTCTTTTTGTTTTAATCTTATCCTATATGTCTTTAAACTTTACTCTTGGTGAAAATGGGCCATGGTAGTGGTATTTCTTTCAAATTCTTCTTCATATGGCTGGGGGGGGAGGGGGAAGAGGGAGGGCTTAAACATTTTTCAGCTCATTCTAGCTAGTTCAACATGCATATGTTGTATATCAAGTGGTAACAAATTTAAATAGGCAAGATGAAAAAAAATAGTACCTGAAAATGAGGTTCCTTGAGTATGCCAACTAATTCTGCAATATTTTCATCTTTGTTTATTAAAGGACTGATATCTTCAAGAATTTCATTCACTAGTTCCAGGTTGTTATCACTGACAGCTTCAAGTTTAGAATCTTCCAGTCTCTCATGAGCCTGTGAGAGATTAAAAACAAGATTATATTGCTGATAGCCAATGAGTTGCAACAGAACAGTACTTTTAATTCATTTAGCCATGTGATTCCTGATTTATCTTTCCATCAAGCAAGTTAAAAAGAGTATCAAAAGTGAATCTACTGTTTTACCTTCACAGACTCAGAATTAGCATGCTTAATCATTTGGCTATAGAACCATTTTAAAGCAGCACTGGACTTATGCATGTATGTGTAAATGTGTGTCCCTCAAGCTCCATATTACAGAATGTCTAATAGCTCACCATCTCTGAACAGCCTCAGTTCTTCTCTGTTCCAGAGCCCAGCATTAGTCACGCTTCTAGAGATAGAGAAGAAGAGGGAGGTATGCCATATTAAAGATTTTGCCAGGCCAAGGAGAATGCTGAGGGGTTCCGCTCCAGGGGGCATATGTGTTTGTGAGCTCCCCATAATTCTCAGCTGCTATGGGAGCAGTGTGGAAGAGCCACAGGGTTAAGCGAGTTGCTGCGCTGCCATTCTCTCAGCTGGGGGGAGGGGCAGCGGCAGCATTCAGAGCCATAGCACATTCCTCTTCCCTGATTAGGGACATCCAGAATATGGAGGTTCAAGTGCACTGATCTTATCATTAGCAACATTTTGCAACCACAATTTGCACTTAAAAAAACCCCACGCAAAAATGTACTCATTTCCTCCTTTTGTAAAAATGCATATGTAGTTATACTGGTCCAACTATTCTATTCTCCATAAGAGAATGGCTTCATTGAAATAAAGTACATGTACAGGCAGTCCCCGACTTACGCGGATCCGACTTATGTCGGATCCGCAGTTACGAACGGGGCTGCCCCAGAGTACACGGACTGCGGAACCTCACGGTCCTGCCGCCCATGTACTCTGGGGCTTTCTCTGCGTCTCCCTGGTCTGCAGACCAGGAAGACGCAGAGCAAAGCCACGGGGGGGCTCGGGCAGCGAGGCAGCTCAGGTGCGCCTGGGCTGCTCTGCTGCCGGCTTCCCCAAGGCTTTGCAAAGCCGCGGGGGGGCTCAGGCAGCGGGGCAACCCAGGCGCACCTGGGCTGCTCCGCTGCCAGCTTCCCCGAGGCTTTGCAAAGCCGCAGGGGGGCTCGGGCAGCGGGGCACCCCAGGCACACCTGGGCTGTCCCGCTGCTGGCTTCCCCCGCGGCTTTGCAAAGCCGCAGAGGGGCTCCGGCAGCGGGGCAGCTCAGGCGCACCTGGGATGCCCCGCCACCGGCTTCCCCCAGCCCTTGCCAAAGCCGCATACCCGGCGCATAAGACGACACCCGATTTTGGGGGGA